CCGTCGGGACGTGCCCTCACATCGTCACCTGACGCCGTCCTGTCACCGCGTTGCGTCATATCGCTGTCGCTGTGTTGCCCCGTTTCGTCCTGTCACGTCTCACCGGTCGCAGCGGGACATCCCCCGGTCACCCTTCTCCCGCCGCCGGGGGGCGGTCGGGTCCCGGGTCCGGGAGGGGCCGGTGGCTCGTACTCGGGGACGCAGCTCCGAGGCCAAGAAATGGAGAGCTTCTCCCGAGAAGTGACGGGTTTGTTTTATTTTATTTTATTAACGGTGGAGTGTGGGTGAAGGAGCAAAGGCGCCCGGTGCGTCTCACCGGGTGACCCCCGGTTGTGCCACGAGGAGGATATTGTCTGGAGGTCTCGGTGGACTCAAGCCCGTGACCCTTGGCTCGTTCTTCCCCTCATCGTGGTTCTTATTGAAGCTTTTCAACGTTTGGGTGCTTCTTCCCTCAGCAGAGGGAAGACATGTTGAAGGGATGTATCCAGCAGATGCCGTGTGGGCTGTTTTCCTGATTGCCTAAAGAAGCAGAATTCCTTATATGCAGTAAAATAGAAAATACCTGTAGTTAAATTATAGATAAAGTATATCTAAGCTAAGTGTTTTTTCCTCAGGTTAAAACTTGAGGAAGCTAAAGAAGTTCAGAGCCTCAGAAAGAGACCCAATGGGGTGAGGTGAGTAAGGGATGGAGCACCAGGGATGGGAGGTTGTGTTGCTGTAATGTCACAGTAAATTTCTCTCCTGTCATGTGGCACCTTTCAGGAGAAACTGTTACATGTCAGATAGTGCCAAAAGCGTGTTCTTGGCAGAAGGGTTTCTGCATTAAGACCTGAGAGTGAAGAACAGAGGGAGCAAAGAGTGGGCAAAGTCTGTTCTGTATCCCAGCCGTGAAGAAAAAGATCAAGAGCAGCATGGACCATGAAATGTGTTTTCACCAAATTACTTGTGTACTGCACACATGGTTTAAATTGGACACTTTCACACCTCGCACCTCCTCCATCCTAATTCCCCTCTCTTCCAGTGCTGTGGGTTAGCGGATCATCTCCCCAAAACTAACAGTTCCTCTGCACCTGTGGAGGCATTAGGAAGATTGGCAATTTAGCATTAACACTGTGTCAGATGCTCTGCTGGACTGAGAGAAAGATAAAGAAAGGCAGTATTGGTGGTGCTGTGTTTCCTTCCACTGAATTTTATTTACTTTCTTTCCCTCCTCGACTAGCGCTGTAGCTCTGCTTGTGGGAGAGAAGCTGCAGGAAGAAGCAACGCTTGTGGTAAGTTCTAGAGACTTTCATGACCTCAGCACTGAGATGTGACGATGTGAAAACACCCGCGTGGTCCAGGTGGTCACTGCAAGTCTGGCCTGGGGTGGGACTGAGGCTCAGCTCAACACGTAAATCTGGTTTTGTCCAGGTTTTGAAGACTAGTATTAAACTGGAGAGAAGCCTCAGAGTTGCTCATTATTTCTTGTTTTACAGGATGACCCATTTAAAATAAAATCTGGGGGCATGGTGGATATGAAGAAGCTGAAAGAAAGAGGCAAGGACAGGTGGGTGCATATGAGCTCCAAGGAGAGCTAATCGAGAAGTAACCAGATGTTGTGTTGCTTTGAAGAGTTTAACATACTGTAGTTTGGCCAGTTCTGATTAACCTAATTTGTCAAAGTAGTTAAGAAAACCCACCAAAAAATGCCCTCCAAAAAACTAAAAGCTGTAAATGTTGTCATCTCCATTTAGGATTAATGAAGAGGAGGATCTGAACTTGGGAACTTCCTTCTCAGCTGAAACCAACAGGCGCGATGAAGACGCTGACATGTAAGTTGGGCTGTGTTGTGTCTGGGATGTTTTGGGTGTCCCCACACAATTATCTTTTTTTTTCTCTCTCGGATACCAAGAACATCTTCCCAGTTGTCACTGAAACATTCTTTTCCTCTTTCACGTCCTGGCTGCCAGGCTTGAGAAGGCTTTCTGATGCACAAAGATGGGAGGTGCCAGCCAGGCAGCCACTGTCACGTTATTAAATACCAGTGGGAGCCTTCGCTGCCGGCTGTGAAAGAGATTGGAGGATCTGATCGTTTCTTGGACAATTGTTTTTTTGCACCTGATGTTAGCTGAGTTGTTTTGGAGAGATTATTCATTCCTCTTTCCTAGCTGTTGGGACAGTCAGGCAGCTGTGCCCAGCAGTGCTGTGACAGAGCGCTGAAAATGGAATTAAATACTATGTGTCCCTCGTGTGCTGCTCTTTAGGATGAAGTATATCGAGACTGAGCTGAAGAAGAGAAAGGGAATTGTGGAGAACGAGGAGCAGAAAGTGAAGCTTAAGAACGCTGAGGACTCTCTCTACGAGCTGCCAGAGAATATCCGTGTCTCCTCCGCCAAGAAGACGGAGGAGATGCTGTCCAACCAGATGCTGAGCGGCATAGTGGACCTGGGAATGGAGTACGTGGAGCACGGAGCTGTTGGCCATGGCCTGAGCTGCCAGGATGAGCAGCTGCTGATGGGCAGAGCAGCGGCGCGCCCGCGTCATGCAGCCCTGGTTTGGCTCTGGCATGGGACCGAGCCTTGTTCCGGTGTAGCCCGGTGTCTGGCACAGCACGTGCTACGCGGGCTCTGGGGCAGCTCCATCGTATGATTTTGGGGAAAGGCTCTTAGTTGTTGTGGCTTGGATCTGGCAGCTTTCTGGAGGATCAGTGTATGCCCTGTGCTAAAGATGAGAGCTTCCCTTTCGCCTCTGAAACAGTGTTTCTATGGCACTGCCTCCCCTCGTAAAAAACACATCAAATACCGTATCATGCTATTAGTATCCCCCAAATCCACCCACTTAGCACTTCTCTACCTGCTATCCTTTCTGAATATGAATGAGCATTTTTTCTTTGTTTTTCTTGTAGTGCAAAAATAAAAAATATCATCTCAACTGAAGAGGCCAAGGCCAAGCTGCTGGCAGAGCAGCAGAACAAAAAGAAAGACAGTGAAACTTCCTTTGTTCCCACCAACATGGCTGTTAACTATGTCCAGCACAACAGATGTAAGTCTCCTGTAGCTCTCCTGACCCAGGTGTGACCCTCTCCGCTGCTAAAGAAAAGCAGCCAGTTGGCACAGAGTCTGATGCAGGAGAAATTAGTTCATGTATCGGCACAAGGAGCTGTGTAATTCCTTTTTCTGGGATATTCGTATAGATCACATCTGGCTCGGTCTTTTTCTTCCATCCATCGGCAAGGAGAAGGACATGGTACTTCTGGCTTGGCTTTCTGCTCTTGAACTCCCAGCTGACGCCACCTCCTAAACTTCAAGGCTTTTTCTTTATGTCTTGAGCGTGCTAGAAATGCCTTCCTCATCTGCGATTCTAAATGATGGTTTATAATTGAGAGAATGCATTTTTTTAGGCTGCCGGAGCAGACAGGTGGTCAAGCAAACAGAGACCTTACTAGACAGGAGATGGGAATTAATTTCCAGGAGAGCCTCTAATACTGCAGCCATCTGGAGGAAAGGCGGTCTTCAGCTCTGTCTAACCATGCTTACAGGGGTGATTTGGAGTGAGATTTCTCTGTTCTGAAGGAAAGGAAGAGTCTTTGGGCGACTTCTGATGAAACAGTGCTACTGACGTTTGCTGTCTCCCATCCTGCCTGTATTGATTGTCTGTAGAACCCAATTACAAGAATGCTTGCTCTGAGGTCCTGTTGTTTCTGCTAAAGATCCGTTGTAACAAATGCCATTGAAATGTGTATGTCTGAACACGGCTGCTCCAGATAATATTCCTTATCTGATGTTTTCCTTCTTCCAGTTTATCATGAGGAGCTAAATGCACCGGTGCGAAGGAACAAAGAAGAGCCAAAGCCCCGTCCACTGAGAGTGGGGGATACAGAGAGGCCAGAACCTGAGCGTAAGTTCCTTATCTGGAATGTTCTGAGAAGAGACACTGAAACTCCTCAGAGATCTTGCACAGAGAAATGGGCTAACACTTCTTACCTCCTGTGCTCTGGGTGCCCTGAGATAGTGGGGAAGCAGTTAAGTCCATGAGAGGCTATTGCATTTGATGTACCCCTGCTAGGTCAGACACGATAGAGGATGTCCAGGGGTAGAGCAGCAAAGGTCACACGTGAAACGTGTTGCCAGAGCTGGCTGAAAAGGGTTTGATGAGAGCTGGAACTGCAGGGGCTGCAAGCTTGGGGAGCACTGGCAGCTAAAGCCGTAACTTTTCACACAGCGAGGGCCTGTGTGAGGGAAGTGGTGGAGTTAAGGGAACGTCCCTTGTGAAAGGACAAGAAATATGATATTTCCTTCTCTTCCTTTTGAAGGGTCCCCTCCGAATCGCAAACGCCCAGCCAACGAGAAGGCAACAGATGATTATCACTATGAGAAATTCAAGAAGATGAACAGGCGATACTGAGGGACGTGGACTCGGAGCCTTTGCAGTTACTTTCTTTCCAACTAATAAAGGATTTTGCGTCGGTGACCTGAATGAAGCAGATTTGGGACAGTCTCTGCCCTCAGGTGCTGGTGTTTCCTCCAAAGCTTTTCTTGTGATCTTGTAGTGAATCAGTTTGCGGGTGATTGTGAATTCTTTAGTCAGTAAAACCTTGTATATAACTTATTTTCAGTCATAAAGCTTCTTTTACAAGAACACGTTTTCATGGTTGTCATTTTTGGAATGAGAAAATAAACTTGCTATCACAGATTCCTTCACCCTCTTAAAAAATGTGAGGGAAAAAAAAGGTATCTTTTAAAAGCAGCAGCAGTGTCTGCCTTGTACGTAAAAAGGGAAGGTTTAAAGCCAGCTTGCTTGAATGTCACTGCGTAAGCGACTTTAAAGGTCCCTTCCAGGCCAAGGCATTCCTTGATTCCCAGGAGGTGTGTTCTGTGGGTACATGGGGCAAGGTTTGGAACTTGAGAACAGTGAAATTGTTTTTAAGTGAGTGTAAATGACATTTTTCGTTATGGGACACACGCTGCCGGTTTCTGGGTGCTGGTTTGCTGTCACTCGGGAGTGGAACCTCCGGTGGGGCCTGAGGGGTAACCCCGGATTTTACTCTCCTTCAGAGAGTGGTTCAGATGAAGGCGAGAGTTGGCCTCGGCAGCTCCGGAGCGGCTTCAGCCCCTGAGCGGGCACCGCGCAAGGCTGCCTGGTACTTAATGGCAGCCCCAGCTCGTTAGTTAATGGCAGCCCCAGCCCGTTAGT